CCGAATTACTTCAGGGAATGGCTCTTAAGTGGTATGTAGCCAACAACCAGCACTGGACGAGATGGGTAGCATTCGTCCAAAGTTTTCAGGAGTATTTCCTTCCAAGGGACTTAAAGGACGAAGTTACCAAAAGACGACAGGCGATGCACGAACCGTTTAAAGTGTACATGGTAGAAATGCAGACGCTCATGTGGCCACTGCAGTACACGGCGGAAAAACAACTTAATAAAATATACAACAACAGCCTCCCGGATCTACGAGCTTACGCCAGGCCATATCAATTCAATGATTTGGCAGAATTGATGCATTTGGCCGAAGCGTTCGAGGAACTCGAAGCGGACAGGGAAAAGCTGAGACGACAGAGCCGCATGGAGCAACCGAGACCCATGGAACCACCACGACGCCGCATGGAGCCGCCACAAATGCGTCAGGAAGCTCCTCAATACAGCCACAGGGAATCCGCGCAGAGATATAATCGACCACGATTTATGGCAATGACGGACAACCAAAACACACACAACCAGGCGTATCAGGAGCGGACAGAATTCGACATGAGACCCAGACCTGCCCCGAGGACGAGACGAGACAACATACAAACACATATAAGCAACCCAGCGAGGGCATGCAGATTTTGCGGCCAGGAGGGACACTTCGCAATGGAGTGTACGAATCCTATGCTGGAATATTGCTGGCTATGTGGACGTATCGGAGTTCGTACGTCAGTATGTTGTCCGTCGGGAAACGAGCACCGGCGTCCGCCACCGAGGGGCGAGCGGGAGCCGAACAGGTCAGCCCCAAGACGCTAATCGCAAGCCTGCAGGACGAGGGAGCGCAGCTGACAGCGGTCGTAGAGATCGGCAACTGTCGGTATAAGGCTACGATTGACACAGGGGCCACGAGTAGCTTCGTTAGCGAGAAGCTAGCTCATGGACTGATCAACGTAGGCCGACGAAGCGCAACCACACGTCGAGTCCGGTTGGCAGATGGCCGAAACAGCGGAGTCCGAGAACAAGTCGAGGTGAACATCAAACTAGGGCTGAGGAATATGGATATTGCCCTACTGATACTCCCAGGAGTCATCGACGACTTAGTCCTCGGATGGGACTTTTTGTCTGGCATGGGAACAGTTTTGGAGTGCGCAGGGTTACTAGTAAACATTCCAAAATGCGAGACAAACCACCAAGAAGAGATGTTGTCGGTTGCCAAAACGGTCGAAACACCAATACATCCGGACGCAAAGATTGATCAATTTTTGCGAGGAGAATTGGCGGCATTTGGGGAAATAAAAGGAACATCGCCTATAACTGAGCACCGCATTGTCATGAGCGACGATCGGCCAATTAAACAGCGGTACTTCCCTAAAAACCCCAAATTGCAAGCCGAGATCAACAAACAGGTGGATGACTTGTTGACCAAAGGGTGCATCGAGCCCTCCAGAAGCCCACACAGCGCACCAATCGTGATGGTGAAAAAGAAAACGGAAAAATGGCGTCTCTGTGTGGACTTTCGGCAACTAAACAGCAAATCTATAAAAGATGCATATCCGTTGCCGCGAGTCCACCACATTCTGGACCAGCTGAGAGAGGCAAAATTCATAACGAGCTTGGACCTGAAAGATGGATACTGGCAGATCCCGATGGAGAAGGAGAGTCGAGCGTTGACGGCATTCACAGTTCCAGGGAAAGGACTGTTCCAATGGAAAGTAATGCCATTCGGACTCCATTCGGCGCCAGCCACGTTCCAGAGGGCTCTCGATCGCGTGATTGGACCCGAAATGATGCCGCATGCGTTTGCATATTTGGACGACATTATCGTAATCGGGAAAACACGCGAGGAACACATGGACAACTTAAGAGAAGTGTTCCGACGGTTGAGAGCAGCGAATCTGAGGATCAACGTGGACAAGTGCGACTTCTTCAAAAAGGAACTTAAATACCTTGGCCATCAGGTGACCGAAGAAGGGATACGCACGGATCCGGAGAAAATAGCTGCTATCACCGAGTTGAAACCCCCTAGAAACGTAAAGGAACTACGACAGTACCTAGGAGTGGCATCATGGTACAGGAGGTTCGTACCAGATTTTGCCACAACAGTACACCCACTACACACACTATTGAAGAAAGGTACAAAATGGGAATGGACCGGAGAGCATCAAGAAGCTTTCGAAAAGGTCAAAGCTAAGCTAACACAATCCCCTGTGCTAGCATGCCTAGATTTCTCAAAGCCATTTTGCTTGCAGACGGATGCTAGTAATTATGGCTTGGGAGCGATACTGACCCAAGACTCAGAGGAGGGCGAACGGGTTATATCGTATGCAAGCAGATCTTTAAATGGTGCGGAGCGTAACTACTCTGCGACCGAAAAAGAGTGCCTTGCAATAATCTGGGGCATAAGGAAGCTAAGACCGTACCTAGAAGGATACCACTTCACTGTCATCACGGATCATATGGCACTGAAGTGGCTGAACTCCATCGAAAGCCCATCAGGTAGGATTGCGAGATGGGCACTGGAACTGCAACAGTTTGACTTTGACGTCAAATACAGAAAGGGAAACCTTAATGTTGTTGCAGATGCCCTATCCCGACAACCCCTGAAGGATACGTGCCTCAGAGTCTCGACTATGGATGACGCGATGGACCAGGCAAACAAAAGCTGTAACTGGATCCAAAAGATGCGGTCAGACATAGCGAAAAATCCGAGGAAGTTCCCAGACTATAGTGAAGAATCCGGCAATCTCTATAGACACATCCCGCATAGAGCTGGAACCGAGGATGTGGTAGCCTGGAAACTATGTGTGCCCACCGGAAAGAGAAGGCAAGTGCTAATTGAAAACCACAACACCGCCACCGCTGGTCATACGGGCAGCAGGAAAACAATAGCCCGAATAGCAGCACGCTACTATTGGCCAGGCTTATACAGAGACGTACGTGCATATGTCCAACAATGCGAAATATGTCAGCAGTATAAGCCAAGTCAAATGGCCGCGGCAGGACAAATGCTGACCAAGATACAGGAGGAACCCTGGACCACAGTTTGTGCTGACTTCGTGGGACCACTACCGAGATCTAGGCTGCCAAAGGCGTTGTTCGACGAGGTGACAGTCGGAACAGGCCAAGTAGCTCAAACACCGTCCGACAATGCAAAGAAACTAAAGGAAGTATTCGAAATTGTCCGGCGGAGTTTAGAAAAGGCAGCACAGGACCAAGCAAGGCACTACAACCTGCGCCGTAGACCGTGGAAGCCAAACATCGGAGACAGAGTGTGGGTGAAGTTACACCACCTGTCGAATGCGGCAGAAGGATTCGCGGCGAAGCTAGCACCGAGATACGGGGGCCCGTACCAAATTGTGGATTTTACCTCACCCGTAATATGCAAGATAAAGGGCATAACGGACAGGCGGATAAGGACAGCACACGTGAGCGACCTGAAGCCGCACAACGACCGGAAGGATACGGGTGAGCCTGAAAAATCAAAACAATAAATTTTGCCAAAAATTCCAATCAATATAACAGCGCCGTAGGTCACATTTTTTTCTTTCCCTACATAATAAGAGGGGGAAAATAAATGTGGTCTTATAGATATATGACACATTTATAAATATATATAAAAATAATTAAATATAAGCCCAAAGGAAAGGGTATAAAAATAATTCAATATAAACCCAAAGGAAAGGGTATAAAAATAATTCAATATAAACCCAGAGGAAAGGGTATAAAAATAATTCAATATAAACCCAAAGGAAAGGGTATAAAAATAATTCAATATAAACCCAAAGGAAAGGGTATAAAAATAATTCAATATAAAAAAATAAAAAAAAAAAAAATGTGTAACTACATATATACGAGTATGTGTATGAATAATGTTGGAATTGATGTAAATACAACAGTGCCCCAAGGCGGGCCCAAAAATGCAAAAACAAGCAAGGCGAATAAACAAAACAATTACGCTGATCAGCCTTACATCGGGAGAGCGAAAAGGGAAACATGCAAAGAGAGCGCATGGCCATGACCTACGCATCGACCGCAGACGTACGAGATAAAGATCAACGACCGCCAAAAACTTTTGCTCAGCAACGCGCTTGCAAATCAAAAATGCAACAACAATGCGGGAGCGAGCGCATATGTACGCGCAAGGGAAATGGAACATGCAAAGAGAGCGCATGACCATGACCTACAAACGACCGCAAACGTACATGCTAGAGAGCAACGGCCCCTAAAACGTTCGCTCAGCAGCACGCTTGCACACAAAGTGCAACGATAATATTTGAGCGAGCGGACAGGCACACACAGCGAAAAAGGTCAACGCACCCGAAAATTAATCAGCTGCGCGTTTGCGCACAAAAGGGCAACAATAATTTAGCACATGCACCGTTGGTTACTCACCCACACTAGACATATGCGTGTACACGATGCACCGTTGGTTACTCACTAATATTAGCACAGATGCGTGAGATGCACACCCGAAGGGCAAAGGGGGGAATTTTTTTGGGTAACCATGACCTACACTCGACCGCAAACGTACGAGCTAAAGCCCAACGGCCACCAAAACTTTTGCTTAGCAACACGCTTGCACGTAAAAAAAAAAAGAGAAAAAAATGCAATAACAATGTGGGAGCGATTGCAAATGTACGCGCAGCGAAGAGTGAATCGCACCGAAAACTAATCAGCAGCGCGTTTGCGCACAAAAAGGGCACCGTTGGTTAGTCACCAATATTAGCGCAGACGCGTGAGAGGCGTACCCGAAGGCAAAAGAGAGTTTTTTTTGCGCAGGCGTGCGCCCGAAGTTCAAGATAAGCTAAGCTCTTATACTAATGCTTAGGCGCGTGCATTCGAATAGTGAGAATATGGATTAGAGCTTTGCGAAAGAGAATTCGGGCATCGCGATCAACACACCCACACGCACACGCCCCAAAAGGGTATATAAGGCAGAAGCAGCCACGCACTCAGCTTCTTTGGAAAAAAAAAAGGGAAGAAAATTATAAAAACGCAACAAACTTTACAATGGAGGCTCAACCAAATTCTATGCTGGATAGCAGCGTGTCGGCAGCAGGTCACCGCCGCGCCTCGGACACAAATCCCTTTGACCGGCCCAGCGAAGCTGGCGTCCCGTGCGACGAGGGAGCCGGTCCGGGTGCGCGCGCGGCTAGCGATCGCCGGCCGCGACGCCCAGTGGGACGCGGAGTACGCCTGGTGCGCGAAGTGCGCGTGGTGGGCGTCGAGAGACGCCGAGTCCTGCGTCGCATCGCGCAGGAGATGCGGAACCGGCAGAGCGACGAGCTCGAGCTGCTGGCGTCGCCGCTACACCTCCCCAGCGACGAGGAAGGAGGGGCATCGCCGCCAAACGCCCCCAGCATGGGAGAAGATCCGGTGGAGGACGCAGTCCCGGAAGCCAACGAGGAGGCCCATCCACGACGCCGACGCTACCCTAGCGAAATGGACGAGGTGAATCCGGAATGGCTCCGTTGGCAGTACCCGGAATTGCCCTCGACACCGGAGGCCGACACCACCGACGAAGAGGAGCGCATGCTCACATCGTCAGAGGACGAAGAGGAGTGGCGGTCATCGACGTCTCCGGCGATCTCGGACGACGAGGAGGCGATGCCGTGGCCACAAGAGACGCCGGAGCCGGAGGTGATCACAATCTCGGACGAGGAGGAGGACACTGGCGAGGAGCGGTGGTCATCACCGTCTCCGGTGGTCTCGGACGACGAGGAGACGATGCCGTGGCCACCGGGGACGCCGGAGCCGGAGGTGATTGTGATCTCGGACGAAGAGGAGGAGGAAGAGCAGCCCGACGATGGAGGAGAGGCGCAGGGGCAGGGTGAACGCCCGCAAATCCCGCCACCCACCGTGACCGCCACCTACGCAAGGGCCTTCGCGGACGGCCGCTGGAGGCACCAAGTAACCCTGGTGTGCGTCTGGGAGGAGGAGGCGGGGGTGCCACCCACCTGGCAGCTGGAGGAAGAACACCCCCCCGCAAGCCCTAACCCCCCGCAGCGACAACGGAGCCCAACACCGCCCGCCGCGAGATCGCCACCACCCCCGCCGCCGGAGTGGAGACCGCCATTCCTGCGCCAGACGTCGTGCCCCGAGGCGGGACCCCGACCCACCCGACCGACGCTCCAGCGACAAAGCTCGGCTCCGGAAGGAGAGGCTGGATGGCAGGAGCTGCCACCGCCGGCTTGGCCACCTGGCATCACGGCGATGGCCGATGCCCAGCCGGGACCAAGCCGGCGGGCGTCCAGGATCGTGTGGCAGGAGGGGCACCGCTATCGAAGACCTCGATGCGGGGCACGCGCGTCTTCCGCAAGGTCGAGCGGCAATGAGGAAATAGAAAAATATATAAAAAAAAAAAAAAAAAAAATTTAGAATTATTAGTAGCATACAAAATAAAACAAACATAACCCCTTCAACCAGTATCTATTCTCTATTTACATTTTTAGGCCGTTGTCTCTCCTTAGGTTGGAGAGCGGAAGCTTTCCGCTGCCGAAGAAAGAGGGGAGTGTGAGGAGCCATAGAAGCATGCACTTGTGAGCATGCATATATGTGTATGTTTATGATCATAAGCATATATATATGTATGTTCACGAATGGGCATACAAAATGCCCGTAAGCATGTTATATGCGCCCTCACAAAAACTGTCCATTCAGACCGAAAAACCGGCCCTGATGCAGTTGCGGCGAATTCGCTCTCTTTCGCCCTCTCCCTTTCTAACGCGGGCGTTCAGCCGTTTGAACGTGTCTGACACACATGTCCATTAGGACATGTGCCGTTAGTGTAGGAAGAGTATTGCGAGAACAACTGTTGTCCATACTCACACTGACGGCAGACAATGGCTGGCGCCAGCAAAAGGGCAGTGGAAAAGTACCAGAAAATCACGCCACCAAAAGATCACGCCACCAAAGATCACGCCACCGAGGTACAGTCCCGGCAAAAGGTGGCCAGCCACGGCCTATAAAAGGAGCGCCGCCGCATAAGGCGTGGCTGTTTGATTAAATACGCGAGAAAGTGAACACGCTGTGAAGTAAACAAGCTGTGCAAATAAAGCAAGAGAGGCTGCGCGCATATACACGGAGCGAATATATGTGCGAGTGAAAGCCAGAACACCAGTGAAAGTGCAAGGACACGGAGTGTCAAACTCAACAAGGATCACAGGACATCGAGGTCCTGGAATTAGGTGCGAGCCGTTTATCCTTGCCACGCTTGAATTGTGGCAACAGGCGATATCCGCAAGGAACCAAGTGAAGCAAGCGAGGCTTGGTCTGTGATTAGCCAGAGAGTGAGACACGCGGATCCTGACTCACAAAAGGACTCGGCGCAATCCTTGAGAAGCAAGGAAGCCGTTAATCCTGGTGAACGTCAGAAGTGCTGTACGGAATCTCTGGCGGGCAGACTGAGATCCTGGGCTTGCATAGCTGGAGGCGGAGGGCCTAGGGCAGATTCTGGCGCACAGGAGCTCGAGTCACACCTGATCAAGGATACCGATGCGTGGTGAGACGCTACGGAGCTAGCAATAAGTAGCGATAAGATAAAGAATAATAAGAAGACCAACTGTGAATGGTAATATCAAGCAATAAAAGTGAAATAAATAAAGTGAGTTTAATATATTGATGCTGTGTTGTTAATTGTTGCAAACGCAATATAAATTTGTTGCTCGAACCCACAGCTCGACTGAGTTTTAGCCTAGCTAAAACGCCACCTAGCAAATAGGTTCGTCATAGATTGTGAGATAAGGGTCAAGTCCTCTCCTATTTTTAATAATTAAGGTGGGATCATTTCCCGTATTACATTCAAAAAGGTTAGTATTAAGGATGAAGGCTACGAGTGACTCACCCCTCGAATTTGTGACCGTGCTCCCCCATTGAGTGTGGTGAGCATTGGCGTCGTAGCCTATAATTATGCCGATCTTGTGCTTCTCGCACTCCTGGACGAGGGATCTCGTTATCTCGTCCGGTGGTGGACTAATGCTGTGGGCCATGTAGGCAGACAGTTGCCGTATCGGAGCTGACTGGAGCTCAATGCCTACCGCGATGCTGTCGCCATTGCTAAAATGATGGAGCAGAGAAATACTTAAATGTTTTTCGCGAGGATGCAGGGACGTTTTTTACCTTAAGTTTCAGCTACTAAGAGCTTATAGTTTTTGTTTCCTAGTCCGCAAACCTTGCCTCCAATCACCCAAGGTTCTTGGACTAGTATTATATCGTCTCCGCCGCCAGCCGGGTGGAGCATCAGGACAGCGGATGCTGCTTTACAATGTTGAAGGTTTATCTGCAGTTGTCTCAAGGACATCTGGAGATTCCACCCTCATCACCATGTTGTTGCTGTCCACTTTATCGAAGCCCAGAGGCCCTGAGGCAGAGTTGACACGTCCAACGTATAACCCGGCTCCAGTTCATCATCAGTTGCTCCGATCTCCGTAGGAGGACCCTGCTCGACTATCTTGTCACAGACAACAGAGTCTCCTCCGGCGTCGCATCATTCCACCCACTTCCACTGATTTGTAGGGATTCTTCAGTCCTTGTTGCCTTTGTCATGGATCGCTATGAGGATTCTTTCCTTGGCAATCTCGGCGAAGGACCTTCCAGGCTGCACCTTGGCCCGTTTTGCAACGGGTTCATGCCTCTTGCAAGCGTTGCCTTTTCGTCTGGCTCTGCTCTTTGTTGGGTGGTGCCTCACTATAGTTTGGCAGCACCTTTTTGGCCCATTCCACATTGTTTTGCCATTCGGCTGATGGTTTGGCCACTGCATTCGCGTTCTGCCGCTTCAAAATGCTTGCAGCATTTTTTCCTCCCGGCGTATGTGAATCTTTTTGCTGGTGGTTGGCAATTCGCCTTTCGCACCCGCTCCGGCCGGCAGCTTGGCTGCATAAGTGCTTTGCCTTCCCCCCACAGAGTCGGATGGGTCAGGGTTTTTGCCAACTGCACCCTCACCACTGGCTAAGCAAACAGGTTTTTCCGCCACTTTTGTCTGGTCCCCGCTCTGGCCAGGCTTTCGAGCCACTGCCTCAGCTACACGTTTGGGATTACTCCCTACCCGTTTGGTTGAGTACCGGACTTTATTAAGTTTTTATTTTCGGAATTCATTCTGATTCCCACGAGTTGCGGAGAAAAAATGTCCACCTGCACAGAGATCCACGATTTGTAGGTAAGGCTAAATAATATCGGAGGTCGCCCGGTAACCGATATGCTCTGTAGACTGAGCTATTTATTGACTCCCAGCCAGGCTGACTATCGGCACGGATCGCATTGCACCTTAGTCCGGTCCGTTACTTCGAAACCATGACTCGGTCCTTTGACAGGGACAAGACTATGGAGATAGACCATGTCCGAGGTTCAGGGCGCGAGTCTTAGCTAGCATCGGTACCTTGCCGACCACTGTAATGCTATTACCAGTCGGCACCCTCGTGGAGGGTTCAGTTGAGGAATTTTTGCCAACCACAATTAACCTTGCTTCACATAGAAAAATTTAAATTATACAGTAGCAACTCATAATGTAGGGATCGAACAACCCGCCTTGAACCGCTCAGAGTTGTTACTTAATCTTTCAGGAAATAGTGCACCTCGTAGCAGCTCTAGCTCACAAGTAGCACCAGAAAAAGTTTTAATTATATTGCAAAATTGGCGCATTAAATTCGATGGTTCGAAAAAATGGCATAATAACTAAAGAATTTATTTATCGTATCCAGTCACTTACAAGACAGAATCTTAACAATGATCTCAAACTTCTCTGCGATCATCTCCATCTATTGTTCACTGGTAAGGCGAGTGATCGGTATTGGAAATTTCACCGTGCATACTCAGATTTTACTTGGTATAATTTTTGTGGAGAGTTTCTGAAACGATTCGAAGATATAGAGACTGATTACGACATTTGAAAATGAACTGTTCGATGACATCCAATAAGCCATAGAAGATCTTGCTGATAGGCTTATAAACGGTATAGCTGAGTACGAATTAGTTGAATTGCCAATTCGAAATGCTAAGCCCAGTGTTCATCATGAATTACTTGCCTTGAACATCCGTAATAGATCACAACTTAGGAGAGAGATCCTCCGACATGAACAATTTTATAAATGATTGAAACCAAGAACCTACGTTCATATGTCACTGAAATGTCAGATCAAGACGATAGTCAAGGACTACCCGAGGACAACTCAGAACAGGACGAAATTTCACAAATTCAACGTCGCTCCATACAAACAATTCCAATTGGCTGGAATTGTGACAAAACACGACATAAATTCGAAAATTGTGTAGAGCAACGTAAAATATTTTGCTATGGATGTGGAGCAAAAGATACCTACAAGCCCAAGGTATTTACAAGGTAAATGTAACTCTTCAGGAAACCGACAGATGGATGTGTCATCCATCAACAAGCAGACCCATCCTTAAGAACTATTGATTTTATATGATACGATAGATCATTTTAAATTTATAGCGAAGCCCAAACGTTCGACATAACTCTTAACAGAGTTTTGGAAAGTCGTTAAGCATAACCGCCGAAAATTTATTTATGCTATTTTTCTGAACTCGGAAACACACGTGAAAACCGAAGGCAAGGAGTAGAGCGCAGTATTATATTTGATAGCTACGATAAGTTGCATTGGGGGAAGCGCTGCAAAAGAATTGTTGCCATACAGCAAGTCCAAGAGTGAGCCGGAACAATTCGAACAGCGAACGGATCCATTAGTAAGGTAGTAGCTAGGCTTAAAACGAATATATGCTATCGAGATTACGCTTGTAATGCCCCATAGTCCATTTAATTCAATTTTGTTGAATAGAGCAACACAAAATTACCATAAAATAAAATTAAAAAATCAGACAAGTAGAAACCACCTAATTTATTTCGTTACAAAAATAAAATCCGTCAAGGGAAATTGGTCGATCGTTAATTTTGAATTCTTGAAACTCGCGCTCATAATTTAGCGGATACCGCTACCGTGCGATCTATCGCCAAGAATGCAACAGTGAGATTTGTTGTCGGCAGCGCCTCTGGTAATAGCTCTGCTGAAAAGAAGCTGCTACTTCTTAGCTCCAGCTTCCTTCTTTTCCATTCGAAGTCGACGAACAAGAAGTCGTCGTCCCTTCTCTTGATAATTATAAATAAAAAAATAATAATATCAATTGAGGACGAGCAGGACAGGAAAACAAATATAAAAATTTCTAAGCCATCCACAGCTTAAAGTGGAAGGGATCGTTATCGCTGATTGGAACAGGAAAAACGCTCACTGTCAAGGTAGTTATTGAAAAAAAAAATATGTAAAATATCCCAAAACTAAATGTTTCCCGGCACATGGTTTCCTTAATAGGAGAATATATTACTGACGGCGTAAGGAAAACACCTGGATTTGGCGTAGCTCCAATGGTGGGGATTACAGTTGCATTAAAGTTCTGGACTTTGAATGTTCTGAATTTAATCAATATCAATCTAAATATAAATATAAATATACATATATGTATATAAAACAAAAACATCAGTGTCTCACAGTTTAATTCGGGAGTGTCTAGCAAAAATTTTAATTGCCTGCCATAAGCTAATTATCCAATATTTTTTAAAAATTCCAAAGACCTATGGCAGGTACATATATTAACCACCTAAATGACTATATGACCCCCATAAACGGGGGTTTCCCCACCGGCTAGGCCGGTGTGGCATTATGGACACCTGGGTGCCATAAAACCCGGATTTTTTACGTCAGGTTGATTATTTTCGGAATAAATAGACAAATCCGTCGTAGTGAGTTTAGTTATATCCTGCATCTCGGGTGTCACCAGCCAACAAGGACTATGGACAAACGGACTACCATTGAGCAACGGAATCTCATCCTGGAACACTTTAAGATTGGATATTCACATCGCCAAATAGCTAAAATGGTAAATCTTAAAAAAGTGGAGTGTGGAAACTGTGCGCCGGGTTCTGCGCAACCATGACTTTAATGCCCGAGTACCACGGAAAAAG